AGACTTTAAGCATAGGTTAAAATTATAATTGAGCAAATTGGTGACGTGCCATGTTATGGATCAGTTGGTTGGTAGATATTAGTAGGTGTTAGGTAAATCTAACCAACTGACCCGGACTAGGGTGTGTCACTAATATGCAAATAATTTTGGTTACTAAGACACTATGACTTCTTTGCACTAACAATGTGAGACGATTGTTTGACCAGAATGAAACTCGATTAGGGACGGTAAAAAATAATGATATCGGGTGTAACAATTGAAATTATTTATGCGTGATAACCAAATACGACAGTGATCGACAGATCGACAGAAATTACAAATATTTTTTACCGATCACTACCCGATCTGTGCAAACTTATATTAAAAACCGGTTTGACATTGTTACGTCAAACATATCTGCACCTGACTTTTGTCATTTTCGCATAGTTCCTAACAATCTTTATATAGTTTAGAAACGTCTACCGAGGTGGACCTTGTTAAAATATTGATATCAGCATTCCTAAACATTACGTCACAAGATAATTTACGACAAGCCTTTTTAGATCAAAGGGGAGCACAAATAATGTTTGATTATTGGGAGAAAAATTGGACAAACATAGATACAGAAAATCTTACAAATACAAAATCTAAAGAAATTTTAAGTATATTACAAGTTTTATTAACCGTCGTTGTATCAGAAAGGGACATTTTCATTGTTAGAAATGAAGATGAACTTTGGAAAATTGTGAAGACCGGGTGTCAAATAGCGGAGATTCTTGGTATAAATCGAATCAATCAAACTTTGAACCTTGGTATAATCATTTTGGCGACTAAAACTTTGATAATAGGCCTATAGTTGGCTTTCTTGTTATATTTGGTGTGATGCTAATCATCTAACCCAAAATTGCACTTGACGAGTATTTGGAAATTCGTAATAATAATCCTGATCCATTGGGAATTAACGGAAACTTCGTTTCCGCTAATTCACATATGGATCAGGATATTATTACAGGTAAGAACGTTGATGTTATACGACAGATTTTTCACACGGTGTGCAACATATAAAATAATAAATTTACAATAC